CCCCGCCCTATGTCGCGGCCCCGCCCTACGTCGCGGCCCCGCCCTATGTCGCGGCCCCGCCCCGACCGTCGCGGCCCCGCCCCTCGTCGCGGCCCCGGCCCCGTCCCCCCCCCCCTTTTTTCTCCCCTCCCCCCCAATTCCCGTCGTCCGTTGAGGCGACCTGAGGGGGCCGCTTGCGGCCCCCTCAGGTCGCCTCGACGGACGACGGGAAGGGCGCGCTGTGGGGTGGCAGGTATGGGGGTGGCCAGTGTACTTTCCTCCCTTTGCTCCTCCTCCTCCTTCGTCTCCCACTGCTGCAGCTGTCGCTGAGGGGGGTGGTTGTGTGGGAGACTGGGTTTAGAGTTTTAGGGGGGTGCGTGGGAGTAGAGCTAGTGGTGTAGCAGTGGGTGTGTATCAGGGGGGTGGGACTGTGTGCGGGAGGATGAGCGGAGGTTGCCAGTTTGTCGTCAGCAGCACCTGTAGTCCGGGGCGCTGTCCCGGTAGCCCAGTCGTAGCCAGCTGTGCCAGCCGCCCGTGGGTCCGTTGCCCGTCCGCCGCTATTTGAGCCGCGGGGCCTGTTACTCCTGTAGTCCGGGCGCTGTCCGGTAGCCGCTGTGCCAGTCTGCCTCCTGTTGCCCGTGTGTCTGCAGCTTCAGCCGTCGCCTCCTGTCTCCTCTCCCCTCACTCTCCCTCCTCCTCCTCACTTGCCCGTTGTGACTACCACTAGCTTTGCTTATAATTGTGAACTCTAAACTATTTCTTCTTGAACTTGTGCTCAGAATGTGTGGTGACATTGTGATCCACCCTGAGCTTGGTTTGCTTTGCCTGCTCTGCTGATTACACCCCACTTTGGCTATGGGGGTGTGTCAGAATATTATCTTATTGTTCTAGCCTGTAGTGGGGTGCTCTATAGCGAGTACAACCCTTCTAGGGTTTGCTATTTGTATCCTCATTCTTGCTAGTTCAATCCTCTTTCTTCTTCTAACTTTTGACAGATGTAGCTTGCGTGATTCGTAGGCGATGGGTTGGAGGCCGTTGCCGAAGTCCTGTAACAGTACGGCTCCGATGGCGATGTCACTCGCGTCTGTAACAACTTCAAAGGGGCGGTGTGGGTCAGCGATGCGTAGGACGGGTGGTGAACAGAGAACATTTTTCAGGGCAGAGAAGGCAGCATGCTCTTTCTCCCCCCACGTAAAAGGGACCCCCTTACGCAGTAAATCAGTGAGCGGGGCTGTTAAGCGTGCCATGTCGGGGACGAACCGACGAACGTAATTAACAAACCCTAAAAAACTCTGTAGTTCCGTGATGTTCGTCGGGGGATGCCACGCTTTTACGGTATCCAGCTTCTTAGGGTCTATCTCAACCCCAGCCTCCGAAATGACGTGACCTAAAAACTCTAGCCTGTCCCGAAAAAGCTCGCACTTGGAGCCCTTGGTGAGTAACCGATGTGCCTCTAAAATCTTAAAAACTGCTTCGAGATCTACTAAGTGCTGCTGCTGGTCCCGACTGTAAACGAGGATGTCGTCGAGGTAAACTATGACGCATTGATCTAAAAGTGGCCTAAACGCCTCGTTCATGGTCATCTGAAATGTTGCAGGCGCGTTGGTCAGCCCGAAAGGCATCACCGTGTACTCGAATGACCCGTACCTAGTCCTAAATGCTGTCTTGGCGCAGTCCGATGGTTCGACCCGAATTTGATGGTAACCTCCCCGTAAGTCTATTTTCGAAAATACTCGTGCGGTTCGCAGCTGGTCGATCAGTTCGTCGGCGCGGGGGATGGGGTATCGTGATTTTACTGTTACCCTGTTAAGCGCTCGGTAGTCGATGCACATGCGAAACCCTCCGTCTTTTTTCGGTGTGAACAGTATCGGTGCGGCGAACGGTGACGAGCTCGGTCGGATAAACTGCTTCTCTAACAGGTAATCTAACTGCTTCCTTAGCTCGTCGAGCTCGGGCTATGTCAGTCGAAAATGGCGCTGTACAGTTGGTTGTGCCCCCGGTTCTAACTCGATCCTATGGTCATGCGCCCGCTGAGGTGGCAGCCCTTGCGGTAAGTCATCCGGAAAGATACCCGGGAACCGTTTCAGTAGTGTCTGTAGTTCGGGTGGTACGGCTGCCAACAGTTTCTGCAAATCACTCGGCCGGTCCTCTTTTTCCACTAATGCGATATCCACTGCGTACACGTCAGCTCCAGCAGCGACAGCCCGTTTCATCGTGATGGCGTTGACCTGGACCGTCGAAGACTCGGGTGGCTGCCAGCGAGGTAGGACGACCCAGTTACCACTATTTCGCACTGTGCAGCTACCCGTCGTCCAGTCAATTCGCGGGTTATACCGTCGCAGCCAATCACGTCCCAGTAAAATGTCGTGCCCATCCAGTGTCGTTGCGAGCATTTCCTGTGTAAACCCGAAGTTTCATCCGCAGCGGACCTTTACTCTCTCCACCTTTTCCCGTATAGCCAGTGGCGTGCCGTCGACTAAGCGTGCATCTATCTCAGGTAAGCATCGGTTAAGTGTTAACTGTAATTTCCGTGCGGTTGCGGTATTAACTAAGCTGTGACTTGCTCCTCCGTCAATAAAAATCTTCACTGCTGCTCCCTGTATTTTCCCGTAGATTAGTACCGGGCAATCCGTCGCTGTACCCTCCTTATTCATCCGAGCCCGATCGATGGCATGAATCGGTACTGTGACTCGGTGAGGGTCGGTGTGGTTGGGCGAGCAGGCAGTCTCGTCAGTAGTTGGCCCAACTTCTACTGACTGCTGGCGTTTCCCTGCCTCTGAGACTCCCTCCCCTGCTCTGCTCCTCGGCGCCTCAGCTCCTCTGGGCATTCGCTCTTGCGATGGCCCGGCCTGTTGCAAGCAAAGCAGCGCCCCTTAAACGGTGCGGCAGCTGCATTCGTTGCGACGGCGTGTACAGTGGCGTGCTCGGTCGGTCCCCGAGGACGATGTCCGTAATAGGACCCCGGTCTCGGTCGGCGTAGAATGTCGATCTTCTCGGCGAGCGCGAGAATCTCGTTGAAGTTAGAGAGTCCGCGCAGCATTATCTCGTGCGAGATGTCCGGCTTCAGCCCTCTGACGTAACGGTCCACCCGCTCCGCTTCGTGCATGTAGCCGACCTGCTCGCAAAGTGCGAGAAAACCGCTGATATTGTCTTGAACTGACCCGAGCTGGCGCCAAGTGCGCAGTTTCTGACACGGCGAAATTGAAGCCGCGATCGACTCAAAACGCGCCCGAAGCCCTGCGCACCACGCATCCCATGTGCTGTATTGGGCGGTCTCGCAGAACGAACTCCAGGTGACAGCTGGACCCGAGGGCCCTTCCTCGTGCGACGGTGGCTCGTAGGCGCGTGGCGACATCACGATGACTCGCCACCAGTCCATGGCGGGGCCCCTTAGCAGTGAAACCGCATACCGGATCTTTGCGGTGTCCGACTTGACGTAATTGGCGTCGAAGAAAACGTTCATCGTGAAGACCCACGATTGAACTGTCGGACCGCCGCGTTGACTTGGGTCGAAGCAGGGCGGGCGTTGCGGCTTGAGCGGCATTGGTGCCATGTTGGGTTGTTCGCCACTTGTCGCCGCAAATTCCACGTGCCGACGGACTTCTCGAGGCTCCCGTGGGCTTGGTGCGATCCTGTTTCCTCCCATGCCAGGCATCGGCTGGGCGACGCCCTCACTGGCTGCGCCTGAGCGTTGTCCCGTGCTGTCGTGTTGTGTTGGTGTGCCGGACGAGATGATGATCGGCTCATCCGAACGTGCAGATGCGTTTGTTGGTGCGTGGGATGTCGTCGGTATGTTCATCGTGGATTCTTGACGGGCTGAGTCACGTTCCGCCGTGAGGGTCGCGATTTCAAGCGCCGAATCCTCCAGTTGACGCACGAGACGATCAAGTTGCTCCTGCGTCAATGTGGCGAGCGTGAAGTCGGCCATGGCGGGGGTGTCGGGCAAGCTCAGCGAGAGCCTCGGTCGTGGCCGTGCGTGCTTGCGAGAGAGCACTACGAGCGGCGGTGCTGTATCGCTGAGAGACGTCTACCCCCCCCAAAAATTGAGATAGTGGGGAAGCGAAGGTGTGGATGCGGTCCGAGATGGGATCGTAGGCTCGAATATCAAGTGTTACGAGTGCAATTGAGTGAACGAACGAGAATTGCACTATCGAAGCAAGAGTACAATGAGCGAAGGCATGAGCGAAGAATATATAGCGAAACTACAGTGGTAACGGTAATGGTCGCGCGACGAGCCTGGGACTGAGGTTGGGAACGTGTCGAAGCGTAGGCCCGGAGCGCGGGTTACCAGCCGAGCCGTGAGGTCGGGATGCGATGTGCGAAAATGGCGGGATGATGAATTATGCGATGGTCGCGAGTGGTAACGGTGCTGACTGAGGTGCTACAGTGATGTACGCGTTGAGCAGAGATGCGAAGTAAGGAAAAGGGAATTTCCTTACACCTTTACAGTAGTGCGATTGGCGGTCGCTGAGATTGAACGGTACGCGGGATTTTCCAGGTGTGGGGACCAACTGCGCAATCCCCAAATCCGCGGCACGGGGGACCCGCAAGGAGAAAAGCCACGGGGAGGAAAAGCACGGTGGACAAGCACCTTGGCGGAGCAGCTGTGCGGAAGTGCGGAATGAATATTCTCAAATTGGGGCACGCTGTCGTTGACGTACACCACCGACGCGTATATTTACAGAATCGTTCTGGAGGCAGACGAAACCGTACGTTACCGCTTTGAGTCATCTGCATTTCTTTTTGTGACGTAATCTGGCAGGCCAGAGAGACTGACAAGCTACAACCTCCTGTGATCCCCTTAGTCCTAGTTGTGATTTCACTCCTAGTTCTGACTTGCCTGTATGTGCAATGAAGACTCCTTAATTTTGAGCAGGAGTTTCTTGTCTTAGGCACCCAGGGCTTTCCGTAATCGCAGGCAGTCGGAATTCTTCTGGTGCTGCAAGGCTATTTCTGTTGATACCCCTTTTTTTTTTTAGGACGTCCATCGGGAAGAGCTTTGCCTGCCCGGAAACTTGGCAATGGCGAACAAAAAGCGGTCTCACGAGAGGCTTCCGTTCGGCGCTCCGCCGAGGCAGCCGGACGAGCCGTTTAACCCGTTCGTGAACCACAGCGCGCCGATCGATACGCCTTACGAGATCGTTAAGCTGACGCTGATGTTCCCCGTGTTCCTCGTGCGCGCGGTGCTCATGTTCGTCTGCTTTGTTTTCGGATACTTCTTCGCGCGACTCGCGCTGATTGGCGCGAAGCACATCCACACCAAGTAACCTACTTCTCTTCGCATTTTGCTGATTTGACGAAAGATTACTGACTCCTTATCTCTTTTGAAGTTGCTTTTGAGAATTCTCAGAAGCAACTCCAACATTATGATGGTTGGATGATTGATTGTTGACTTCTTATCTTTGCTTATTGCTTGCCCTTAGCTAGTTAATTATCCGTTCGTAGTATCGCTTTTCTCTTTGCTTATCAATGTCGTTCCGCAAAGACAGCTCCCGGTGTCCCGTTTGTCGTCTGTGGAGACTGTGTGGAGCGATGGAGTAAAACTTCGAGGCGGTTTTCCAAATAGAATTTTAGATATTGGACAGTCGAGTCGGTTACCCCTTTACGCCGACAATGCGTGGCTCGGGCTTCCGCTAATTGCGGTGCCTTTTTCTGGGCGCGATTCGGGAGTGGGATGAGAAGGTGGGGTGCTTGCTCCATTATCAAACGGCGGAAAACTGTCAAAATTCTTTCCAATCCCAAGGCGATTTTTGAGTTTAATCATAATTTGTTTCCCAATCCCAAGGGGCATTTGAGTCCACTCAATGGCTCTCCTCCCCACTTCCCTGTCGCCTCTGCAGGCCCTTCCCCCCGTGGAGGAGGAATGTCCTGTGGCCCGCTTTCTCCCCTCTTCCCGTCCCCATCTCCCCGCTCTCTCCCCCTCTTCCCGTCCCCATCTCCCCTCTCTCTCCCCCTCTTCCCATCCCCATCTCCCCTCTCTCTCCCCCTCTTCCCGTCCCCATCTCCCCGCTCTCTCCCCCTCTTCCCGTCCCCATCTCCCCGCTCTCTCCCCCTCTTCCCGTCCTCATCTCCCCTCTCTCTCCTCCTCCCCATTTCCCTGTCGCCTCTGCAGGCCCTTTCCCAAGTGGAGGAGGCATATCCTGTGGCCCGCTAAGCTTCTGACACGTGGCGTTCTCTTCGCCTGCGGTTACAACTGGATCGAGGTGAGCTACTGTGAGTGATGGGATTCGGCATGCTACAGCTGCTGCTGCAGCTGAGACTAGGTGCTTGCTCGCTTGCTGCTTGCTTGCTTATCTTGTGGCCTGTCAACACGTGGCGTGGCCTTCTCGTCGTCTGGATGGAGGTGAGTGGCTGGGCTTGGCGCGTTGTACCTGAGGCGCCTCAAAAGTCGCCTCAAAGGCGCTTCAAAAGTCGCCTCAAAAGTCGCCTCAAAAGTCGCCTCAAAGTCGCCTCAAAAGTCGCCTCAAAAGGCGCCTCATAGTCCGCCATGGGGCCTTCTCGTCGCCTGGTCTGGATTGAGGTGAGTGAAGGGCAAGGTCGCGTCCAGGGCAGAGGCGCAGAGGCGCCCATCCTCGTGTGCAACCACGTGACGTTTGTGGATCCTGTTTGTGGGCAGAGGCGCCCATGCCCATCCTCGGGAACGTTTACATGTTCAGGTGCATTTGCACACGAGTGAAGGGCAAGGTCGCATCTTCTTGTGGATCCCGTTTACCTGTTCATGGCACACAGTGCACCTGCCATACTCTCCTGTGTCTCTTTCCCCATTCCCACCCCACCCCCCTCCAACCCCCCCCACACCGCCCCATCCCCATTCCCTTATGCAGGTGAAAGGCAAGGTCGCGTCCAGAGCAGAGGCGCCCATCCTCGCCTGCAACCACGTCACCTTCCCAACCCCACCCTCACCCTCACCCTCCTCACCCTCACCCTCCTCACCCTCCTCACCCTCACCCTCACCCTCACCCTCACCCTCACCCTCCCAACCCCACCCTCCCTCACCCGTCTATTCAGGTCAAAGGCAAGGTCGCGTCCAGGGCAGAGGTGGTGCCCATTCTCGCCTGCAACCACATGACCTTTGTGGACCCAGTCTTCCTCTTCATGACTCACCCACCGTGCTCTCACTGTCTGTCTATCCCCCAACCCCACCCCAACCCATCCCCGCCCCTCCCAACCCCACTCCCTCCCCTGTATGCAGGTCAAAGGCAAGGTCGCGTCCAGGGCAGAGGCGCCCATCCTCGTGTGCAACCACGTCACCTTTGTTGACCCCGTGTTCCTGTTTATGGCTCACCTGCCCATGATCATCACGGCTAAAGAGAACATGAATATCTTCATAGCGGGGACAATAATGAAGGCCCTTCAGGTGCGTGGGTGGGAGTGGGTGAGAGTGGGTGGGAGTGGGTGTGAATGGGTGGGAGTGGGTGGGAGGGTGTTTTAGTCGGCTTGAGAAACCGACTGCTTGCTTGGTTTATGGCTCACCAGCTGATGGTTATTCACTCCTAATGTAAGCTTGAACATCTTTACAGCGGGGACAATCATGAAAGCTCCTGGGTGATTTTTGAATCGACTTCAAAATCCCCTCCCCTCCCGCTCCCCCTCCCCTCCCGCTCCCCCTCCCGTCCCCCCTCTCTTTCCCCTCCCCTCCATCCACCTGGCTATAGCAGTCGACTGCACGCCCCCCACATCACGCACGGACTCAGCATACGAGATCAAGAAGAGGACCCTTCCCCCTTCCCCCTCCCCCTTCCGCTGCCCTTCCTCTCCCTCCCCTCTCCCTCCCCTCCATTCCAGGCTATAGCAGTTGAGCGCGCGTCCCTCACATCATGCAAGGACGCATCATACGAGATAAAGAAGCGCGCCATGTGCAACGACTGGGTGCGCGTGCTGCTCTTCCCCGAAGCCACCACCACCAACGGCCGCTCCCTCGTCTCCTTCAAGACGGGCGCCTTTGCTCCCTTCCTCTCTAGTTTTCAGTCGACTTGAAAAGACTTTCCCTCTCTCTTCCCCCTTCCTCCTCCACTACCCTCCCGTCCCTCTCCCCCACCCCAGGCCATTGCAGTCGACCGGGCCTCCCCCACATCACGCAAGGACGCATCATACGAGATCAAGAAGCGCGCCATGTGCAACGACTGGGCGCGCGTGCTGCTCTTCCCCGAAGCCACCACCACCAACGGCCGCTCCCTCGTGTCATTCAAGACGGGCGCCTTTGCGCCGGGCCTGCCGGTGCAGCCAGTGATGGTGACGTACCCCTACACGTCGTTTGACCCCTCCTGGGTGGCCGAAGGGCTCCCCGATATGACCCTGCTGTGGCGCATCATGTCCCAGCCCCACAACCGCATGAGGGTGAGTGGGTGAGGGGGGGAGGGAGGGAGGGAGGGTTGGAGTGAGGGAGCGAAGGAATGAGGGAGCGAGGGAGTGAGGGAGCGAAGGAATGAGGGAGCGAGGGAGTGAGCGATGGAGTGAATGCGGGAGAGAGGGAGTGAGTGAGGGTGGGAGTGACGAGTGAGGGAGTGAGGGAATGAGCGAGTGAGTGAGGATGGAGTGTGCTCCGGGCCTGCCTGTGCAGCCGGTGGTGGTGACCTACCCTGACAGACGGGGAGAAGAGGCATGCATGCAACCTTGGCATCTGGCCGTCTGGCCATGGCGCGGCGGCTCAACCTGGCCCTCACAGACCACTCCTTCGGCAACGTGCTGCTGGCGCTCGAGGCAAAGAAGCTCAAGCTGCCAGCCCTACTCATGCCCACTGTTTTGCTCCCGCTCTCTCCGTCGCTTACCCACACTCTTATTGTGTGTGCACAGGTGGAGTATCTGCCGGTGATCGTGCCCACAGAAGAGGAGAAGCGGGATGCAAAGAAGTTTGCCGAGAGGGTGCGTCTGGCCATGGCGCGGCGGCTCAACCTGGCCCTCACAGACCACTCCTTCGGCAACGTGCTGCTGGCGCTCGAGGCAAAGAAGCTCAAGCTGCCCGTGGGGACGGCGAACGTGGAGTTTGGGCGGCTGGAGCAGCTGTTCCGGGTGGATGTGAGGGAGGCGAAGCAGTATCTGAGACGATTCCATGCCATGGACGTGGGGCATTGGTGAGGGCACAGCCGCTCTACCCCCCTCTTACTCACTCACTCTCACTTGCTCACTCACTCACTCACTCACACATTCTTTCTCACTCCCTGGAAGGGTGCCGGAGGTTGAAAGTTGAAACCCTGTGGAGTGGAGTTTGGGCGGCTGGAGCAGCTGTTTCGGGTGGAGGTGAGGGAGGCGAAGCAGTACCTGAGACGATTCCATGCCATGGACGTGGGGCACTGGTGAGCGGGCACTGTCACTGTCACTGGCACTTTCCTTTCGCTCCCTCTAACACTGTCACTCGCTCGATCTCACTCAGTCTCTCATCTCATCTCTTATGGCCCTCGTCAGCACCCTCAGTGGCACCGTAAGCTACTCCTGGCTCCTCTCAGCGCTGGGACTGCTGTCAACACTCCCTCCTCCCCCCTCCTCCCTCGCCCCTCCCCCTTCCTCCCCTCGGTGGCACTGTGAGCTACCCCGCATTCCTGCAGCTCTGGGTTTGCTTCATCACCCTGGTCCCTCTCCCCATCCTTCCCTTCCCCCCCACCCGCTGTCCCCTGTGCTCCACACCTTCCCCCTTCCCCTCTTTAACCCCATCAGTGGCACTGTAAGCTATCCGGTTTTTGAGAAATCTCAAAAGCCAGCTGGTTTCCTGTGTCAGCTCTGGGCTCAACACTCCTCCTCCCGCATCCTGCCCCCCCCTCACTTCCCCATCTCCCCTCACCCCCACCAGTGGCACCGTAAGCTACTCCGGGCTCCTCTCAGCGCTGGGATTGCTGTCAACACTCCCTCCTCCCCCCTCCCCCCTCGCCCCTCCCCCCCAGTGGCACTGTGAGCTATCCCGGGTTCCTCTCAGCGTTGGGTCTGCATTCAACACTCCCTCTTTCCCCCATCCTGCCACGCTCGCACTTCCCCATCTTCTCTATCTATCCTCCCAAACCCCTCAGTGGCAGGCACCGTGAGCTACCCCGGGTTCCTCTCAGCGTAAGCTCTGCTCTCAACGTAAGGCCCAGCGCTGAGAGGAACCTGGCTCTCCCCTTATGTTGGGAGCAGACCCAGCAGATTTCTCGCCCTCCACAGCCTCCCTACCCTCCCCACCCTCCACACCCTCCCAACTGTCCCCCCCTTCTTCCCCTTAACCCATTTTTACCACTGCAGTGGCACTGTGAGCTACGCCGGGTTCCTGTCGGCTTTGGGCCTGCCTGACTCAGAGGCCTCTCAAATGCTACTTGACTTTCTCACCATCCTTCTCACCCTCTCCTCGCCCTTTCGCTCCTCTTCCTCCACCGCCCACCTTTCCCCTCCAGTGGCACTGTGAGCTACCCCGGGTTCATCTCAGCGCTGGGCCTGCCCGACTCAGAGGCCTCTCAAATGCTCTTTGACTTTCTGGATACCAACGAGCGCGGCACCGTCAACTTCAGAGAGGTGGGTGCAGTGCGGTGCAGTCAGGTATAGTGAGGTGCAGTGAGGCGTAGTGGGGCGCTGTGAGGTGCAGTGAGGTTTACTGGCAGCGCTGGTCCTTGTGCCCTGCGATTCTCGATTCCACGACTCGGTGAATCGAGTTTCCCTTCTTGTCCCCTTGTGTTCTCACCACCCCTTCCTCCTCCCCCTCCCAATCCCCCTCTCTCCCCCCTCCGCAGTTCCTTGCAAGCCTTGTCTTACCGCGATTCCACGACTCAAGAGAAAGAGAGCAAGATGAACCTGCGGGGCCAAATCAATAGCTGTTTCTTCTCTTCACTTCCTGTGTTCTTCCTTCCCTCCTCCCCTCTGCAGTTCCTGGTGGGGCTGGTCTTTGTGTCCCGCCACCCACAATTCCATGATTCGGTGGAGAAGGCGTTCAAGCGGCTGGACAGGTGATGCGGTGCAATGCGGTGGCGTGAGGTGCACTGCTCTTCCGCTCCCACCCCTCTCTCTTCCCCCTCTGCAGTTCCTGGCGGGGCTGGTCAATGTCCCGCCATCCTCAGTTGCACGACTCAGCGGACTCAACGACAATGGTCAATGGTGAACGTTTTCCCTCTCCGCATTTTCCCCTCCCTTTCTCTCCCCCTCTGCAGTTCCTGGCGGGGCTGATCTTTGTGTCCCGCCACCCTCAATTCCATGACTCGGTGGAGAAGGCGTTCAAGCGGCTGGATCTGGATGGGGATGGGCGGCTGACAGCGCACGAGGCAAAGGAGGGCATGCGGGAGCTCTTCCCTGCGATCACAGACGAGCAGGTGGGTGGGTGGATGTGTTGACGTGGTGCGATGCGGTGGAGTGCGATCCTGGTCTGTCTACTTTGGTCTGGTTCAGATGGACGGCTGACAGCGCACGAGGCCAAGAAGGGCATGCGGGAGCTCTTCCCTGCGATCACAGACGAGCAGGTGGGTGGGTGGATGTGTTGATGTGGTGCGATGCGGTGGAGTGCGATCCTGGTCTGTCTACTTTGGTCTGGTTCAGATGGACGGCTGACAGCGCACGAGGCCAAGAAGGGCATGCGGGAGCTCTTCCCAGCGATCACAGATGAGCAGGTGGGTGGGTGGGTGTGGATTGGTCCGGTGCAGTGCAGCGTGGCGGAACGAGGTGCAGTGCGGTAGCTGTGTAGTATGTCGGATGGACAGCTGACTGTTGTGTGGTGTGCCCTGGAATTAGTCTGTACATCCTCTCCACCCCACCCTCTCCTTCCGTACATTTGTTTTTTTTTTTCCAATTCTCAGAAGTGCCTTCCGTGTATCACACTTTTTTCTCCTGACTTGCCTGCAGCTGGCGAAGCTGTACGAGCTGCTGGGGCTCAACAGCAAGACGCCTCTCTCCTGGGAATGAGTTTGAGCATTTTCTCACTCCCTTCTCCCTGTTGCTCCCTCTCTGTTCCCTAATTGTCGCCCGTCGTGTGCCTGCAGCTGGCCAAGCTGTGTGAGCTGCTGGGGCTCAACAGCAAGACGTCTCTCTCCTGGGACGAGTTTGAGCATTTTCTCAAGACCAACCCCGAGTATCTGGTGGCGATTCTGGCCGCCGATTTGTCAGATGTCAAAGTGGAGGAAGAGAGCAGTGAAGTCGCGTCGGATTAGGCTGAGATGGATGTGTGTGGCCGAGATACAGCTGTGTGTGCATCCTTGTATGATATTGTGGAAACAGCCTCGTGTGATCATGTGATAAAATACCAGAATTCTTTACGTTTTCATCTCAACGCATGATTCAGCTGTGTGTTTTGCAAAGCATCACTGATCTTCTAACCGCGAAGTGTCCTAATGCGTATAAGGCATATTAATTGTATATACACGTGTACAGTTAACTGGCACATTATAGGCGGTATAGAATCCAGGTTCCAACATTATTTCCTGCCGGAGTCAACTCCTGAGAACCGTGAGCTACACGTGGAGACGCCAATTCACCGCACCTGATCTGGCTCAAGCGTACAGAGGAGAGTTTCAGGTGCCGTTCATCAGTTTCGTTGACCGCTCTATGTTGGCGGGACAGCCAATCACAGTGCCCGAGACATCTGCGGTTCCCACTCAGCATCATCCCCCACTCATCCACCCCCACCTAACTCGATGGCACGCATCACACGCGGTTTCGGATCTTGTACCGTTCGATGGAACACGTAGGCAGCTAACACCGTTGGATCGACGCCACCCGGAATTTAATCGTCCCGTAGTTTCCGAACCGGTTAGACAGATTTCTCCGAAGGCTCCTTGAGGCAGAGCCACCTACCTGACTGAACTTCTCGCTGAGCAAATCAGCGGGTGGGTGAAAACAGGCACATTTCAGAATTACAAATATCGCATTTCTGCATTGTTGTTCTCAGTTTCAGCATTTAGTAGTCGCAATTGCAGGTGCAATTGCTCTTCCTCTTACAAGGTTTTCCTTTTCAGCTCCAGTTCACCTGTTTCGCCTTCATCTTGCTCGTCCTGCTATCACCCATTACTGTCGTACAAAGGTAGCTACCACTTCCTTACCATTTTCAGCAAGTTCATGAGCCATGTTACGCGCTCCAGAAACCTACTTTTCCGTTGTCCAATGTCAGGATCTTGCTTGCTAATTTGTATTCTGTATATTTAACTTCTGTACCCGTTATCAGCAGGTCAAGATGGTGATGGATAAGGACGCCAAGATCTATGTGGCTGGCCACACCGGTCTGGTGGGATCAGCCATCTGCAGGAAGCTCAAGAAGGAGGGATACAACAATGTCATCGGAAAATCCATTGAGGAGCTTGATCTGACACGGCAAGCGCTCGTCGAGGAGTACATGAACACGGAGAAGCCTGATTATGTCATCGTCGCTGCTGCGAAAGTCGGCGGAATTCACGCTAACAGCGTCTATCCCGCGGATTTCATCGGAATCAATCTTCAAATCCAGACCAATCTCATTGACGCTGCTTACAGGGCCGGGGTGAAGAAGCTTGTCTTCCTCGGATCGTCTTGCATCTACCCGAAGCTTGCTCCCCAGCCTATCACTGAGGATGCTCTGCTTACCGGACCCCTGGAGCCCACAAACGAGTGGTACGCGGTCGCGAAGATCGCCGGTATCAAGATGTGCCAAGCCTACAGGATCCAGGTATGTCCTTGAAGACTGACGACTTCTCGAATAACTTTCTGTACCTTGTGTGTCTATTCAGGAGGCATGTAGGCTTGTCCCGTGATGGATTCGAATTGGCCGTGTTTGCTTCTCGACAACATTTTGTTTTCTCTTACTGTTTCTTCCTTCCATTGTGACTCGTTTCTTCCTGCAGTACAACTTCGATGCCATCTCAGCGATGCCGACCAACATGTACGGCCCGTACGACAACTTCCACCCGACCAACTCCCACGTGCTGCCTGCTCTGATCCGACGGTTCCACGAGGCCAAGAAGACCGGAGCCAAGGAGGTGGTCTGCTGGGGTACCGGCACTGCTCTGCGTGAATTTATGCACACGGATGATCTTGCAGGTATGAGATAAAATTCACACGGTTTTGTTTCCTGCACGCACACCATGTTCACTGTGGAAGCGATATTGTTAGTACGCATGAACTGGTCCTTAGCGTGTGTTAATCAAGTAATACCCGCGGAGTAGGCGCATTCTAGGTTGTATGCGACTCTTTTCGAGTCTCGCATGCGGTGTTTTCGATTCTCATGTAGTCTAGATGAACACAGACCGCAAATATGGAACCGATTTCTTCCCTCGCCAAAACCACTGACAACCATTGGAATCCTCTGCACGCATCACGTTCTTTAATGCAAAGCTTTTGTGCACCATCCGTTCAACCCTTGACTCGTCGCCAAATGTCCCCCCCTGATCCAACCCTTATTTTCTGGAATACCCTCCCTCCAGATGCGCTCCTCTTCCTGCTCAACAACTACAGCGACATCCCCCACCTGAACGTGGGAACCGGCATCGAGCTCACAATCAAGCAGCTCGCAGAGACGGTCAAGGAGGTGGTGGGATACGAGGGCGAGATCACGTGGGACACGACAAAGCCTGACGGCACGCCGAGGAAGCTCATGGACAGCTCGAACCTGCACAAGCTGGGGTGGAAGCCCAAGGTGGGGCTGAAGGAGGGCCTCACGGAGGTGTACAAGTGGTACCAGGAGAACTACAATGTCTGAGCCATGTCTCCATGCCATGTCTTAGGCTTGTCTGTGCAGTGCAGTGGTATCTTGTAATTTTTGGGGTACACATTCTTATTGCGGGTTTATTACACATTTCTTGTTGATACATCGTTCTGGCTGCTGCTGCATCCACCAATGCATTGTCCAAGCCAAGCAGGTAGAAGCTGCTACCGGTATCTGGAGTGACTTCGATTGTAGCTGGTATTCCTCCAAAATCCACCTACCCAGTGTTGAATTCTCCAGCCACCCATATTGGTGTTGACTTCTGAGAATTATCAAAAGACACAAACGAGAGAGAATGTCATCCACTCCACTTCGCATGAGAATGTCATCCACTCCATTTGTGCTTAGGTACAAATTCATGTTGTAACTTACCATTCACAACCTTCTGTGCATGAACAGGCTCAGCTATGAGCTGAATTTTCATTCTAGCTTGCTTAAAAGGCACCAAGTCGGTGGGGTACAAAGCAGTACGAAACACTGTTGGGAACAAATAGTTTAAGCGCCTCTGTCGTGTCAGAACTCAAGACACAAGCGAAGCAGCTCAAATCTAAGCATCGCGAGTCAACCCTCAGAAGTTAACGTAACCGCTGGAGGTTACGAGAAAGTCAAAGGTCAGCGACCTTTGACCTGACGCAGCGCGACAGCAAGGACACACAACTGACTCGACATTGAGCAGTTGCCCGAGTCGCACTATATCGAACCGCAACAGTAAAGTAGTGATAATGTCTCTTCATATTCTTTGTACTCATATATTTATTCCTGTATCTCTTTGCTTTAATCAACTTACTTTGCCCTCACATACTAGCACAAGGTGGTTCAAGGACTTTATTCAACGCTTCCGCTATTACATCACTTACTCAGACTTTAACTCTACAAAGATCATAGGGCTTTTTCAGCCCAACATGGTATGAGAGCAGTTAGAGTTAAAAGTTACTATTTTTTCAACACTCAATACATCAAGAAGACATGTCTGCTAGAAAGGAGAGGAGCTCCTCCAACGGCTCTCCCGGTACTACCCCTACTCCACCTCCTGCCTCTGGTCTACAGACAGAGGAAGGGACAACGACGAGACCAGCAGCTGGGTCTACGGAAACACCCGCAAACCAAGGCGCGGGCTTTGATCCAAGCATGATGGAGAAATTCTTCTCCTTCATGTCCTTCTACGAGCAGCACCAGCAAGGAGTACCTGCGCAATCAAACAACAGCAACAACAACAACAACGTGACACCCATGAGTCTCGATGGCTCATCCTACGCACGCGGGAATCAACATCAACAACCTACATTCGCTCCGTACGAGCCCCAGCGCGGCTCTGTCAGCTTCATGCCGCAACCACAACCTGCACCGGGACAAGAGAGAGCGCTGGACGCATTACAAGTTCAATCGCAATTCGCGCATGTTCTAAAACTACAAACGACAAAGTCTTTTGACGGAAAAAACTTCTTTACCTGGTCGTTCGAATTCGAGCTGATGATGGAAGGAGCGCAGATCCTTGGCTTCTTCGACGGGTCCCTGCCATATCCAACAAACGGCACACACTATGAGAAGCAGCAGTACACCTATCAATCGATGATGGCGTACACGATACTACTGAGGAACATCACCCCGACCCAACAGCAGAACATAAGGACTTACCGAGGTTACGGTAACTCCGCGGAGCTCGCGTACAACCACTTGAAGAACCTGTATCAAGCAACAGACAGTGTAAACCAAAGTCGGTTAATGGCGCAGCTGACAACAATAGAAATGAAACCAGGCGAGAAGGGCATGGAGTATATCAGTCGCTACCGCGAACTGCGCGACAGGCTTCTTCGATGTGGGGGATCGATCTCAGAAGACGCCTTTGTCACGGTTGTCATCGGCGGTCTCGGCCCTCACTGGCGCTCCACTCGCGCCATACTACGAGCACAAGGGAGAATCTCCGAAGCAGCACTCTGCGCCGAAATACATGCCGAGCAGCATGACATGGACCTGCAAGAAGAACGACATAAGAAGAAAACGTCAGTACCAGAGTTCGCATTTCACACCCAGCGACGCTACAACAACAACAACAGTCGACAGCAACAACAACCGAAGCCAGTACCTCCGTTTTGCCACATCTGCAAGACTTCAGGGCATCCTCGTACGCACTGCCCGTATCGTCATCAATCGACAACACCACAGCGACAACTTCGACCTTCGAGCAGCCAAGTCACTTCAACACAAGCTACCCCGACACCTTCAGTCCAAGCTTCAACGACTCCAACAGGACAACCTGCACAAAAAGCAAGAAACATCGTCAACTGCATGGTAAAGATAACAGATTCCTGCACAACCGAGTCAACACCATACTACTCACCAGAAGAGCAACTCGACAACAGCACGCCTCGCCGCGAGTCCCTTCAACCAAACCCGACGTACGCCGCCATTGCTCAAAGCGAACCGTCCGGGAAAGATACATGGTTCTTGGACAGTTGCTGCGGACAGCACATGTGCTCTTCGGGACGCTTCGTCCAACGCGAACATCGACTTCAACGAGAGGTCGTCATCACAGTCGCCAACAACCAGAACCTGCGCACACGACGACAAGGAGTAGTACAACTTCAGTCACGAGAGACAAATGTTATACTGCATATGTCAAAGGTACTAATCGCGGGGGACTCGGCTACAACTTACTGAGCGTCAGCCAGTTGATGGCGAAAGGCATTCACTTGGAAGCCAACAGTACCACCCAGGAGTTCAAATTATACCACGGGAAAGGCGGCCTCTACATCGGGAAGGCGGTCTTGAAGAACAACGTCTTCGTCCTAGACTTCGTCCCAGACCTGGGCACTGCAGACAGCGACGCCATCGTGAACTTCGCCGACTGGACACATCCTCCGGATCTTGATCCGGACTTCAGTCCGGAAGGCTTCTGGTACTCGCACACCATCCCTGAAGCAGAAAGAACACGCGCGTTAGCAACAATTCAACATTCGGCAGCAGCAGAAACAACATCGGCAGCAGCAGAAACGTCATCGGCAGCAGCAGAAACAACATCGGCAGCAGCAGAAACGTCATCGGCAGCAGCAGAAACATCATCGGCAGCAGCAGAGACAACATCGGCAGCAGCAGCAGGACCAACGACACCAGTCCTCGTCAACGAAACACCACCAACACCCGCACAGCAGTTGAAACCAACTCAACGAGAAGTCCACAGAAGCGCAAACTTCGTTGCCAGCTTTTACTCCAACTCAGACGCGTATCGACGCTCACTCGGACACCGCGCCTCCGAAGACATATGGCACGCACGAATGGGACATCCAAGCAACACAGTGTTAAATAACACGATAAGAGCAGGAGTCCTAGACAAGGACTCATTATTACTACCCGACGGCAGAGAACTCCAACGGGCACGAGGGACTTGTCTCACCTGCCCCGAAGCCGACTTACCACATCGACCGTTCACTCCTCATCACAACCCGAGCGCACCCGCGTACACACCACTCGAGAAGGTGTACAGCGATATTCTCTTCAATCGAGAACCAGGACAAGTTACCTACAACTACACGATTACCTTCATCGACGCCGCCACTCGATACGTCTGGCATCTAAATCTACCCAGCCGCGATATGGCACTCGCAGCGTTCGCCGCCTGGCTACCAGTAGCAGAAAGAGAGTCGGGAGCACAGCTGAAAAGCTTCCAGTCAGACGGAGGAGGAGAATACACCTCTCAGCGATTCAAGCAGTACCTGGCGGAAAGAGGAATCAAGCAACTCCTCTCCCTTCCCTACGCCCATCAGCAGCAAGGTGTCGCAGAACGAATGAACAGGACTCTGCAGAACAGCATGCGCAAACTGTTACGTGGCATGCGGCTACCCAACCACCAGTGGCCTGCAGCAATGGACCATGGTGTCATGCTGCACAACTTGATGTCGTCGTCCTCACTTCCGAACAACGCATCACCACATCTGCTGTGGACAGGGAAACAGGGCAGCACAAAAATGTTAAGAGTTTTCGGGTGCATGGTACAGTACCGACCCCCAGAGGCACGAGCGGGAAGATTTTCACAACGCGCACAGTGGGGACTACACCTCGGCATCGAAAAGAATTACAACGCGTGGAAAATCTTCGACGTTCACTCCAAGGAAACAGTAGCAGCACGTGATGTGATCTTCTACGAACGACTCACGCTTCAGACGTACCTCGCCAACTTGCACGAAAATCAGGACCCCACAGGTGGCTTTCGTGGTGACCGAGCCTTCGCCTCAGCCGCGGACGAAGCAGACTGGGACGAGCAGAACGTCGACAACGCATCAGAAGAAGCCGGACCTCTCCCGTTCTGCTCCGTCAACGTCCCCATGGACGAAGAAAATCCTCGCGAAAGCACCAACGCCGAAGTCTTCTACCACTTCGCCGACAATGGTTACGTAACACCTGCGACAGTCAACACCAACGAAGCAGAAAGAATAGGACCGAATTTCATAACCGACCCAGAAACGGGAGATGAAGCAGCTTATCCCGAGGACACAACACTCCCCCGCTACTCACAGACTGGACTGCAGATTCTCGGCCTCGTCACCGCAGTCCACGGCCATCCTCTTCCTGAAGAGCCTGCGACGGTTCAGCAGGCTCTGGGGGGGGAACACATGGAGAAATGGCGTGAAGCCATGGATAGAGAATTAAAAGCCTTAGAGGAACGGAACACCTGGAAAGTCGTTCCAGTTAGCGTGGCAAGGAACAAGACCATCCTCACCGGGAAATGGGTCTTCCGCATCAAAACGAAGGCAGACGGCACAATCGAGAAGTTCAAAGCACGCTGGGTCGTGCAAGGATTCGATTAGGAACACGGACGGGACTTCACCGAGACATTCGCCCCGGTTAGCCGACACACCTCACTCCGAATTCTCCTCGCGATCGCCGCCATGAAGAAAAGGAAACTACGGCAAATCGACGTTGCTAACGCCTTCCTCTACGCACCCGTCGACGCCGAAATCTTTGTTGAGCTCCCACATGGTACCCACGGGGAACCTAATCAGGTTTGCCAGCTACTGAAATCGCTCTACGGAATCAAACAGGCCCCACGGCTGTGGCAACAGCACCTACACACCCGCCTCACCCGCATCGGATTCCGTCAACTGCCTCACGACCAAGGCATGTACCGACTCACCAAAGACGCCAACTACATTCTGCTTATCGTCTACGTCGACGATTTACTCTACATCGGTTCTACCGACGACATAACTACCTGGTTCGAAGGGGAGCTGAAGAGGGACCTCACACTCACGGTCTCCACTACCGTCACTCAGTATCTCGGACTCAACATCCGCGAAGAAGAAAACGCGATCCACCTCAGCGCCGAAAAGTATGCCGACACCATCGCCAAACGCTTCGCGCTCACACCCGCTACTATCTCCACGCCATACCGCTACACGGCAGGGAACGGCAAAGGAAGCTCCGCCTTACTCAAAACCGCCGGAATACGCGACTACCAGCGAAAACTGGGCTGCCTCCTCTTCGCAGCCGTCACCTGCCGGCCAGACCTGTCCTACTCCGCAAGTCAACTTGCTACCTTTCTCAAGAGGCCCGAAACAGAACACCTAGCGGAACTCGACCGCGCTCTTCACTATTTCGTGAGCACCGCAACGATCGGCCTGACGTACTACAAAAACACAACTACGCCGACGAAACTAATCGGCTACGTCGATGCCGATCACGCCGGCGATTCAGATAACAGGCGCTCCCGCACTGGCTACATCTACCGCCTCGAACCTATCGGACCTATCTCCTGGCAATCGAGCAAGCAGGAACTAATTGCTCTCTCTTCAGCTGAAGCAGAATATATCGCCCTCTGCTCAGCCACCAAGGAAGGACTCTACCTTCGCGAGCTGCTGGAAGAAGCGAAGTTAGCCGAGTTACCCAACTTCACTTTGTTCTGCGACAACCAATCTGCAATTCGCATCGCTAACAAGAGCGGATTCGCGAACAGAACGAAGCATATCGCCCTGCGATACTTCTTCGTGAAGGACGAGATCGAGAAAGGGAAACTTAAACTATCCTACTGTCCCACGTCCGAGATGGCACCTGACTACTTGACCAAGAAGCTCGGAAAAAGAAGTTCGAGTACTGCATGCTGCTGACTGGACAAAGCCACGTCACCATCAGCGACACTCCAGAAGCGAAGGGGAGTGTTGGGAACAAATAGTTTAAGCGCTTCTGTCGTGTCAGAACTCAAGACACAAGCGAAGCAGCTCAAATCGAAGCATCGCGAGTCAACCCTCGGAAGTTAACGTAACCGCTGGAGGTTACGAGAAAGTCAAAGGTCAGCGACCTTTGACCTGACGCAGCGCGACAGCAAGGACACACAACTGACTCGACATTGAGCAGTTGCCCGAGTCGCACTATATCGAACCGCAACAGTAAAGTAGTGATAATGTCTCTTCATATTCTTTGTACTCATATATTTATTCCTGTATCTCTTTGCTTTAATCAACTTACTTTGCTCTCACATACTAGTGCAAGGTGGTTCAAGGACTTTATTCAACGCTTCCGCTATTACATCACTTACTCAGACTTTAACTCTACAAAGATCCTAGGGCTTTTCAGCCCAACAAACACATCGCACCAGTTTTCTGAAGGAACCTAATCGTTACACATACACCTCGCCCACACAATCAAATCGGAGTGGTATCATTGCTCTCTGCAACCGACTTCTCACGCCGCCATCCCAGAATCCTCCCTGCACTATCCTCCACTCCACACCTGCTCCCATCCGTACCCCACTCCACATCCCTATCATTACTACCATCAGTATCCTCCTCATCACATGCTCCTGGCGGCATGAATGCGAAACCCCCTCCCTCACACTCCAATTCTTGCTCCTCCTGTTCTCCAGTACCGAAAATGGATGCTTGCTTCTCCACTTTCCCGCCATTCCCTTCAAATAATGCACCAGCACCAGCACCTGAATCAAAACCATTTGCCGAACTACCAGCCGAAGCAGCACCCGAATCAGCAGCCGAGCCAGCAGCCGGACGAGCAGCCGAGCCAGCAGCAGGAGCAGCAGCAGCAGCACCAGACACCACACTCGTAGAAAGGGAGATTTCAGTGGGAAGACTAGCGGGTACCGGTTGTGGGAGGCGGCTGGAACCATGTGAGATCTGAAAGGACTTTGCTGCTGATGCTTCTGCTGCTGCTGCTGTCCCAGCTCCTGCTGTTACTACACCTGGTGTTGCTGCTCTCCCTGCTGCTTCAGCCACCTCTGCTGCTGCTGCTGCTGCTCCAGCTGGTGTTACTGCTGCTGCCTCTGCTGCTGCCACTGCTCCTGCTGCACCAGTAGCAGGAGGAGTCTCCAGGTGGTCAAAGAATGAAAGCCACCCCGGCGACCCCGAGGTGCCGCGGCCCTTCCTGTCACCCACTGCCCTTGTCATGCGTGCATGCTGGTCTGCAGGAGGGGAACAGAAGGGAGGAAACCAGTCATTAAGTCATGCAGAGAAACAAACCGGTGCTGCTGCTCCTGCAGCAGCATGAGGGGTCGCTGCAGCAGGCACTGCAGCGGGCGTCATTGCTGCAGCAGCGGCGGAAGGGGGTGGTCCTGAGGAGGCCTCGAGATGGTCAAAGAGTGAGAGCCAGCCCGGAGACCCCGAGGAGACATTGTAGCGAGTTGATTTTTGAGTCGACTAAAAAAAGATGGTTTAGAACAGAGGGTTTAGAGTCGGGTCAGAACAGCAACACGCGACCCTTCCTGTCACCCACTGCCCTTGTCATGCGTGCATGCTGGTCTGCAGAGGTGGGGCGGGAAGAAGAGAAAACAGTGGCACAGAACAGAGGGTTTAGAGTCGGGTCAGAACAGCAACACGCGACCCTTCCTGTCACCCACTGCCCTTGTCATGCGTGCATGCTGGTCTGCAGAAGTGGGGCGGAAAGAAGAGAAAACAGTGGCACAGAACAGAGGGTTTAGAGTCGGGTCAGAACAGCAACACGCGACCCTTCCTGTCACCCACTGCCCTTGTCATGCGTGCATGCTGGTCTGCAGAGGTGGGGCGGAAAGAAGAGAAAACAGTGGCACAGAACAGAGGGTTTAGAGTCGGGTCAGAACAGCAACACGCGACCCTTCCTGTCACCCACTGCCCTTGTCATGCGTGCATGCTGGTCTGCAGAGGTGGGGCGGAAAGAAGAGAAAACAGTGGCACAGAACAGAGGGTTTAGAGTCGGGTCAGAACAGCAACACGCGACCCTTCCTGTCACCCACTGCCCTTGTCATGCGTGCATGCTGGTCTGAAAGCAGTGGCAAACGGGGAGAGGGACAAAAGAACAGTCACACAGACAGACAGCTGTGAGTCCCCGTGCAAGGAGGGAGAGGGGAGGAGGGAGGAGGGAAGAGAGGAGGAGGGAGGAGGGAAGAGAGGAGGAGGAAACTCAAGCACCTGCGATCATATCCGGTGTGAGGCCCCATGAAAACAGCTCGTATTCCGAATGCCGTACCGCCAGGCTGTACTTCCCGCCTTCTCCCATCTCCATGACCCGTAATTCACAATTCCCCGGGCTGAGCAGCCCCTCAAACTGTCTGACGGTCCAGCGGACCCAGCGCATGAGGAACACACGCGTGGTCAGCCCGTGCGTCACCATCACTATAAATCTCAACCCTTAACCTGGCTCACCTGCAATCATGTCTGGGGTGAGTCCCCACGAGAAGAGCTCGTATTCTGAATGCCGCACTGCCAGGCTGTATTTCCCCCCTTCTCCCATCTCCATCACCCGTATCTCGCAGTTGCCCGGATTCAGCAGCCCCTCAAACTGTCTGACGGTCCAGCGGACCCAGCGCATGAGGAGAGAGGAGGAGGAGGGGGGGGGGGATGGGCAAAGGGGGAAGGAGGAAGTAGGAAGAGAAGTCCGGCTCACCTGCGATCATATCTGGTGTGAGTCCCCACGAGAAGAGCTCGTATTCCGAGTGCCGCACTGCCAGGCTGTACTTCCCCCCCTCCCCCATCTCCATCACCCGGATCTCACATTTCCCCGGGTTCAACAGCCCCTCGAACTGCCTGGCGGTCCAGCAGAACCAGCGCATGAGGAGAAAGAGAGGGAGGGGGGGAGGGACAGGAAGAAGAGGAGCAATTGTGCTCACCTGCAATCATGTCTGGCGTGAGCCCCCACGAGAAGAGCTCATACTCCGAATGCCGTACCGCCAGGCTGTACTTCCCGCCTTCTCCCATCTCCATACTCATACTCCATGACCCGTATTTCACAGTTCCCCGGGTTCAACAACCCTTCGAACTGTCTGACGGTCCAGCAGACCCAGCGCATGAGGAACACACGCGTGGTCAGCCCGTGCATCGCCAACACTGTAATACTTGACCCGGAACCCGGCTCACCTGCAATCATGTCTGGCGTCAACCCCCACGAAAACAGCTCGTATTCTGAGTGCCGCACAGCCAGGCTGTATTTCCCCCCTTCTCCCATCTCCATGACTCTGATTTCACAGTTGCCCGGATTCAGCAGCCCCTCGAACTGCCTGACGGTCCAGCGGAACCAGCGCATGAGGAACACACGCGTGGTCAGCCCGTGCGTCACCATCACTATGTTGAGGGCCTTTCGCCGGGGGGGAGGGGTGGCGCCCGGAGGAGGAGTGGCGCCCGGAGGAGGGGTGGTGCCCGGAGGAGGAGCAGGAGGAGGAGGCGCAGCTGTGGCAGCAGCAGCAGCAGCAGCAGCATGTTTGTCTGCACGTGTTTGTGCTTCCGCGTGTGCATGTGCCGAATCTAACCGCCCAACTCCGCTCCTCTCCTCTTGCTCCTGCTCTCCTCCTCTCGCCCCGTCTCCCCTCCTTTCGTCTCTCTCCTCTTGACCGCCTCCCAACACAGCAGAACCAGCAACATCAGTGGTACCAGCGGCACTAGCGGCACCAGCAGCAGAACAATCAGCAGCAGCACCAGCGGCACTACAAGCAGCAGCAGCAGCCTGAGGGTGGTCTGACACCACGGGAGGAGCAGGCAGAGGAGGAGGGGGGTGCAATCGGCACCAGTCTATGTCCCGCCACAAGCTGTCAAGGAAACCTGGGAGAACGGGGGGGAAAGAAAGGAAAACAAGCAGATGACGGCCTGGCTTAAGAAACAGGGCATCCAACCAGGCTAGGGCCTAAGCACCCATATAAGATTTTTGAGAATTCTCAAAAACCGGCCTAGCTGAAGAAACAAGGCATCCAGCCAGGCCAGGGCCTAAGCACCCAGGCAAGAGCTGATGGCTTGTAGACCACGGCCCAACAGCGTAGCCAGACGGGCGAACCGCACAATTCTGGAGACAACTAGAGCATTGCTCATAAGATCGGGATTCCATGTGCCCCCATGTTGACCAATGCTACTGTCACTAAGACGGCAGCTTTGAAAGTCTGTGGAATTAGCATCGGTCTGGATATAATTTTGTATATACATATATATATGTATATGTATGAATGTATATATATGGAGATCTAAACACATGATTGTACAAGTTGGCTGAAGAAACTATTTGAGGGCATTGGCATTGAAAAAAAAAAACCTTGTGCCTCGACTAGAGTTAAATGATGGTGCGGTGTAGTGCGATGCGGAGTGATGCAGTGTGGTGCAACCTACCAGTCACGCGGTCGTACACGTCAGCGGACGACTCCCCCTCAGGGAACCGGTAGAAGAACCGTCCAAACCGCTGCCTCATGTCCTTAATCTGCCTCATGCGCTCCTGCACCTGGTGGTGGGGTGCAGTGCGGGGTGGTGACGAGTGGTGAAGAATGGTTTGCCACAGTGGGGTTAGGTGAGATGGTGAAGAGTGCAAGGGATGTCGCCTGGCATGCTCGAGCTGCCTCACATCCTTAATCTGCCGCATGCACGCTGGCACCTGGTGCGGTGCACTGCGGTGGGGTGGGTTAAGTGTGATGGGAAATGATAAGGAGTGGTGTGGAGTGGTGCAGTGGTCTACACGAAGCATGCCTGACTCATTCCACGGTCGTGTGAGCGTTGCTTCATACCCTTGATCTGCCACATGAGCTCTTGCACCGATGCTGTGGTGAGGTGTGCTGCGTTGTGCTCATGTGGTGTGGTGTGGGGTGGGGTTGGGTGGGGTGGGGTGTGGGGGGGCTGGGGTGGGTTGGGAAGAAGAGGGGCTGTGTGGTCATGGTGATTGGGAAGCTCCCCAGAACACTCTCTTACTGTACGTGGAAGCTTCTCAAAGCAAGCCCTTACCTGGAAGCTTCCCGAATCAAGACCTTTCCTACCTTGAAGCTTCCCAAACCCGCCATTTCTTTCCTCGAAATTTCCCAAAACCTTCAGCTCTTACCTGGAAGTTTCCAAAGTCTTGCTCCCTCAGCCGAGGCTCCTCCCTAACTCCCAAAATGTGCCGCCTGTCAAACGCACGCCCTATGCCCTGCAGGGTCTGCAGCCAGGAAGGAGGGAGGGAGGGAGGAAGGGAGGCGGGAGGGGGGTGGAGGGGGTGGGAGAGGAAGGGAGGCGGGAGGGGGGTGGAGGGGGTGGGAGAGGAAGGGAGGCGGGAGGCATGAAGGGCTGCAGCTCCCCTCTCACTCCCAAAATGTGCCGCCTGTCAAACGCACGCCCAATGCCCCGGAGGGTCTGCAGCCAGGGAATGGGGAATGGGGGGGTGGGGGATGGGGGAGGAGGGTTGGTGTTTTAGATAAACAGAGGGTTCAGGGTTTAAGAGGTTTATGCTTTGAATGGGGAGCAGAGGGGCAGTAGCAGTCGGGAAACAAACGTTTGTGCCCCGAGGGGCCTGCTGAGTAGAGGGTGGTTCAGGTGTTCAAGGTTCAGGGTTTCAGCATCCAGGGTTTAAGAATTTAGGTCTATGGATGAGGAGGAATGTGTTTTCTGAGAATTCTAAATACACATTCAGGGTTTAAGAATTCAGGTTTATGGATGAGGGGGGATTGGAGACGCAATAGCGGCCTTGGCTCTACTGTTCTCCTCACCGTCCAGAAAGCGCACTACTAGTTTCCCGTTCCTCACCACCAATTAATCACCTGAAGAGTTCGTGGGTAGGGCGCCACTTAGAAATAAACGTGATAGAGAATATGCTTTGAGACGTCCCAGGACTAATTACCTGAAGAGTTCGCAGGTACGGGGATACGTAGAAATACACCCCCCAGTCATCCTCCTCCTCGTCTCTGTTATAATCACCCTCGCCAGAGTCACCCCCTCCTGCGTTCCGCCTCCCCTCCTTCCCCCCTTCCCCACCTCTCCCCTGCTTCCCCCCTTTCCGCCGATCGAATTCGATTAATTTCCGAATCTGCTTGCCGCATTCCACGGCCTGCTCGAACCCTAGAGGCGTTAAAGACACGCGCGAGTCCGCGATTCGGGTGTAAATCCCCTCGTCCAAGTTCCCCTCGCTCTGCCCGTGTCGCACTAATATAATTCGCGTCGGGCGTCGCAGCAGCGACTCGCGGGAAAGCGGGTAAGAGGGGAGAGAGGACGAGGAGGAGGGGCGGGAAGGTGGGAGCGGAACAGCGGGGACATTAGCAGGGAAAGGCGGGAAGGCGGAGCGCGGGAGTTGGGGGAGTTGATCCGCGAAGGCTGCAGACGAGCTTTTGACGGCGGCGCCAGTGGCGGCGGCAAGCGCGGCGCTGAATGCGGAGTCCTGCGCGCCGGGCGCGCTGCTTGGAGCCGCGCGCGCTGGGTCCAGCGGCGGGGAAACGGCGAGCGGAGGGGGGAAGGCGGGCGGGGGGGAAACGGAGCGGCTTTGCGGCGCAGACCGAAACAGACCGTCGGATTCGTCCTCAAGACCTAACCCTAAGCAGGAGAAATCGTCAAAGATTTTATTTTGCGCGGCTCGGTTGCTGCTCCGAGGCGCCTCGAGCGTGGCGTTTCGGGAGCCAATCAGATTCAGGCAGCAGAGGTCGTCGAGAGATTGCTTGAACGCGTGAGGCATGGAGCAATCGGCAGCCACGTCGTCGCGAGATTTCGTCTGCGTGAATCGCGGCGCGAGGCACGCGGGGAGAGGCGAGTCGCTCCGGCCGTAGGATAGGCTGGATCCAGCGGGGAACGCGGGCAGATCGGATGACGCGGGAAACGCGGCGGGCAGGTTGGGCGAAGCGGGGAAACCTGGAGCCACAAGTGGGTGAGGAGAATGGGTGAGCGGAAAATTTTCATCGGCCATTGCGTCGAAAAAAGGCTGTTTGAATGGCGGCACGTCGTTAGAATGCGCCCCGGGCGGGCCGCGCGGAAAGTCCTGCTCTGCCACTCTGCGTGTCGCCGTGCGCAAGGTGATCAGCGTACCATAAGAGGAATTTAGGGTTTTCTGGAACTGGTAGTGAGAGCGTGGCACAGAAGTATTGTTTTGGGTAATACGCCAGTACAGCTCCTTCGTGTATTTTGGGAAATCTACGGCACAAACTAAACCCATGTGGGCGCCTTCATAGCGAGTATTCAGACACGATCTTCTGGAGGTTCGTTAACTATTGCGAACCGCAATGGAACGTTCTACATGCAGCTAATACCGAACAAATTGAGGAGCTCCGCGTGCTCCTCCCTACTTGCCCGTCGTGAGGTATGGCGCGTGACCCCCCCCTTCGGTTCGGTTCGGGGGCACCTAGTTGCCCACTACAGTTTTGTAGCTGGCGAAGCATGAACCTACGTGTCCTATTAGGGAGGAAACACCATCATCATCATCTCTTCACGTTCAAGCTGTTTGTCGTTTTGTCGGCCAGTGCTGCTTATCACGTGCCCCTTATCCCTGCCTACAGTATTTCTGTTTGCACTAGAGGATTTTGTGCGTCTTGTGATGATCACTCAAACAGTACCAATAGGTTCGGAAAACTAGAATTGCGTCGATCTGGTGGCCTACGCTTATCGTGACCAGACAGTTAGGCTCGGCAAGATATCTCGAAAATTCCACGTCAGCCTAGGAGGTTCTTCCGCAAAATCCTCTGATTCTTTCCAAGGGGGTTCTTCCATTCACACAAATCCCGTCTGGGTCCTTCGAGGACCGGACTGTATGTGTACGACACTGACCGATGTGAAATACCCCATCTGGGAAGGACAACTGTCAAATCCTCATCACTGTCGAAATGGGCTCAAAGAGACAACTGGGGGAGAATAACTAAGTGTTTTTTGTGATGTATGACAGATCCCAATGGAATCCAAGCTCTTACGAAACTTGGACACGCCTGAGGTTCAATGGTACCCAACCCAAGCAGATGAACTCCCTCCTCCCCTTGCATCCATTTTATTCCACTCACCATCATCCATTGCACACGCGACTTGCGACGCGTGCCCCTTACAGTCTGCTCGTGGTATGGCGGCTCACCTCTCTGTCGCTTGCCCTTCCACATCGTTTCTCCTGTCACTTGTCCATGGAACTGCAAATCAGTCGCTTGTGCGGCTGCTAGGAAACTTCGGAGAGCATACCATGCACGCAGCACATACTGGAAGCGCGTTGTGCTTTGGCTGTAGGATTGTCTCGTCTCGTCGCTTCCTTTTCTATACTGCGCGATGGTGGCGAATCAGCCGTAAGTCAAGTGTCGCTTGTGCGGGGCTGGTGTTTGAAGCAGCCATAGCATAGCACCGTAGAGTAGAACGCAAAAGACCAGAGCAGAACACGCAAACCCACCCAGACTGTGGCTGTAACAAACCACAAGCACCGGTCCTTATTTGGACCACACGCTTACCTCGTTCAATCCGATGCTTGCCGTGCATCAATCCGCCATCAACATCGCAATCCGATCAATTCGATATCTCTCTTGTTATCCCAGATCCCCAGTCAAGCTGTAACCCCTCTCGTTCCCCACGTGATAGTCCTGCACTTACGCGCGTCCCGCGCTTCGTGTTTCTCTGACGGCCTTGCTTTGTGGATAGGAGCGGTTGTATTGTGACGTAGCTTCTTTCTCACTCTCAGCCGTACGGAAAGTTTTCTTTGTCTTCCTCGTAAACGATTTCTGGTGATTAATCTCACAGGTCATCCTAACAGACTCGTCCAAACTGGAAAAGGGACGTAACGTAGCACTAAACGCCAACCGTTATTCTGGGTCTGAGCTCCTTTACAACCGCCTCCGCTCCTCGATTAGAAAGCAGCAACTCCAGATCCGCAAAGGCCTCATTTCCCGCTAGCAGTGCCCTTGAAAGACGCTCAATTTCCGAGGTTGCGCATGAAACTGTTGGACTTGGTAGCAGCGCCACGCGTGACAGACTCGGGGCACGAGCTACTAGCTGCGATTCGCGCTGTCGCTGGCTCAGCGGAACGCCACGGTAGTAATAGTACGAGATCTGTGAATAGCAAGTTGATTCCTGTGCCTGCAACGACAGTGGCTGCTACGATCGAGCTATCATCATGGCTCCACGAGCCGCGTCGTCTTTCCAGCAGCGGCAGAAGCTCTTTCACCGGGGCCGGGTCGAACCTTCCGTGACTCCCGCACAGCGCTTTGCGACGGCGCCGGCAGTACCTGTTCCGTCGAAATCGCCGCGGCTCGAGGAGATGGCGGTGGCTTGGGGTCGCGATCTCGATTGGAAGGTCGCGCCGCTCGTCCGGCGAGAAAAATCGAACGACGAATTGCCAGCAATGCTGACAACGACGGCAACTCTTCCGCTACAATCGCAAGCAGGACTTTCGCAGCTCTCCAACTCTGAAAACTTGGCGTCGCGCCGCCAGTGGTCCGCGGCAGCAGCGCTTGCGCCGGTGGCGGGAAACCTGGCGGCGCAGATCGCGGCGTGTCCAGCGCTTGCGCAGCCTCGGCGAGATTGCGGATCATCTCCATCGTCAGAGCGCGGCGCCGCGGTTTCGTCGTTGCGCACCACGCCAAGGGTTTTATTTGCAACTCCGCCAGCCTTGGCGGCTGCTGCTGCTGCGAATCCTGCTGCCGCTGCTTCGTCGCAGCCAATTTCTAGGGTTCCCGAGCTGACTGCTGCCAGTGGGCCTTTCGCAACGAGTCGCAGTTGCGGTCGCATGCCGCTGCTTCAGTCGCATCCAGCGTCTTCGCTCGATGGCTTCGCTAAACTTCGCAACGTAGATGGGACGTGCGGAGGCAGCGTGATGCTGCCGCGCGAGAGCTGCGGTGTTACGGCGACGGCGCAGCAGCAGTTTTCGCACGTGATTGGTCAGCAGCAGTTTTCGCAAGAATTCCCACGTGCTCGCGTCCAAGACGCCGCACCCCGCCTAGTAACGAACGGTCACGAGCGTGACTGTACCAAGGGCGACCTTTTGCGAAAGAGAACGTTCACGCGTTCAATAACTACAGGTACAGTAAACGCAAGTGTTTCTGCTATCCCCGAATTGGAAGACTATGGGTTCGAAAACGAGTGCCCTCCAAAATGGGCAAGGTCTACACCCACTGCACGTCGGTCTGTAGGTATGAACTTTCCGGCTCCATTTCCTGATGCTGACGTGGCAGAGGTGGCACCAGAAGATGAGGTGTCGCTACAAATGCAGCTGTATCTGCTGAGGCGGCGGCAGCGGCAGCAGCTGCGGCTGCTGATGGAGGCGCGTCAGGCGGAGCAGCAGCAAGTTCAGTTTTCTGCTGAGCTGGCAATGATGGAGAATGAGATGATGCTAACTCAGCAGTCTCAGCTACAACAGCAGTTGGAGCAGCAGCAGCAGGCTTTTCAGTACGCTCAGCAGCAGCCGTTGGGATGTGAGCAACAGCTGGGATGTCCGCAGTTGCTAAGGGGTGAGGAGCAGCTGAGAGGTCAGAAGCACCTGGTTTTGGAGGAAATGCAGCAACAACTGCTGAAGCAGCAACTACAGGAGCAGCAGCAACTGCGGAGGCGGCAGCAGCTGCAGGAGCAGCAGCAGCAGCAGCGACAACAGACACTAGAAGACGAGATCACGAGAATGTTCCTGCAACGGCAGCAACTGGCATACATCCAGCAGCTTACTTGCGAGGCTGCACAGCAGCAGCAGCAGCAGCAGCAGCAGCACGGCTACAAAGCAATCACCAGCGCAATCCCTGCACGCCCAATGAACAACGCCCAAGCTGCACTTGAAGCCGCGATGCTCCCCGTCTCAGCTTCGGGAGCTGGACCTGGCCCTCTGTCTTGGCCCGAGCCTGCACATCAAGCCGCCGCTGCACGATTTGTTCAAGCCCAGGTGCAGCGGACTGTCCTAGGTTCGGCCGCAGCAGGGGAGGCTGGGAAGAAGAGGATCGGAAAGCCCTCCGGAGGATTGGAAAAGGGTTGCAGTGCGAAAAAAACTTCCGACAATAATCCTGCTGCGATGCTCGAGGCTCTCTTTGAAAAATCGTTCAAGGAGAGAAGTGCAAGCAACATGACGGGGCAGGGCATGGCGAGCGGTGCAAGTTTCGAAAGTGATGCGCGCATGAATGCTGCCGCTCTGCCTGCCGACATGCTCGTTGCAGCGCAGGGGGGCGACCAGGCATGCACATTCAAGCTGGAGAATGAAGCTTGCAGTTTCAGTGACCCATTTTTGCTGCAAGTGGAGCCGGGCCCTGTGCAGAAATCCGACCTGCCATACGCACAGCTCACGCCAGCGGAAATCATCAACGGTGCACCTTTCTCTGGAGTTCCCAAGGGCGTGCCTTGTGCATCCGCTCAGCAGGAGACGTTCCGGTACCTGAGTGCGGCTCTCGGCGCGTGTGAGCCGTTGGATCCTGCTCTGTACACGTGTCAGAATCTGGATGATCCGAACCTGGACATGCCTCTGCAGGAGCTAGAGGCAGTGGAGAGCTTGCTTGGGGTGACTCCATACACTGCCAGTCAACCTGGTCAACCCGGTCAACCTGGTCAATCTTCTCAGGTCTTCTCTCCAATTGTCTCCGCCTTGGATTCTGCTGGCCGATCCGCATCTGCCAGTGCTTTCCTGGAGGCAGCAGGTGCTGCTGATGCTTTCCCTGCTACTTCTGCTGCTGCTGGTGCTGCTGCTGCAGTTTCAGCAGCTACCTCTGCTGCCTCTGGTGCCTCTGGTGCCTCTATGTCAGCTGGATCTACACCTTCTACCGTGATGCCTGAGCTCCAGCGACGTCATGATTTGTACTCTACTCCGCAATCATGCTTTGCTGGCGATGGCAGTGGCGTTTCTGCCTTGCTCACGCACCCTGCTTCGGTGTTCCCAAGCCCCGTCATTCTGATTTAAAGATCGGGTCTGGAATAAAACCTGGACCTCGTGCGGTTCTACTGGCAGTAGTGCCCTATACATGATGGTTTTTGGGGTTGTACTTCATATGTATATTTACAATGGTCAAATTCAAACATAGCCAGCAGCTCACATAGTGACCTCCCCCTTCTAGTTGGGTCCACTTGAAAACACAGGTTCGTTACGAACGTTAGAAAAGTTGACGGCCTGTGCGTGACGAGTCTTGATGTGAACGGGAAACATGAGGAACTTGTTTACAAGTCTTATTGGTGGCGACTTTCACCCACATTCGTATGCGAATTTGGCGCAAGGCTGCAATCCCACATTCAACATAGCAGCCGTCGTAACTTCACAAGAGTTCCCATATGCAAAAAACAGCGCACACACAGGCAAAATCCAGCGCGCACAGGCAAAAACTTGCAAAATCCTGCGCGAACACTGGCATGATCAAGCAAAATCCATGGCACACACAGGTGAAATCAGGCGAAGAAGATATAAATAAAGAAATTAATGATGTACGAAAAGAGAAAGGGCGACGGGACGGTTGATTGGTCGACGGCGAAGAGAAGGGACCGGGGACAAGGGGGCTGACGGGAGAGGAGGGGAGAGGGGGAACGACGGGATGGGAGGGGAGAAGAGAAAAACGACGGGATAGGAAGGAAGAGAGGAGGAACGACGGGATGGGAGGGAAGAGAGGAAGAAAGACGGGATGGGAGGGTAGAGCGGAGGAACGACAGGATGGGAGGGTAGAGAGGAACGACGGGATGCGGGGAGGGAAGACAAATTGTGAGGGGAGGGAGGAAGGGCGCGGAGAGGGCATTGCATAGCAAGAGCGAAGGGCGGATTGGCCGACGATGGAGAGCGTTTCGGAGATTAATGATTGGGGAGAAGAGACGAAAGGCGATGGGAAGGCATTTCGGGACGAGCACGAGGGCGACGAGGTCGGTGATGGGAAGGGAGAGAGGAAGGGCGCGGGAAGAGCGTTTGAGTGCGAGCGCGAAGGCGACCAGGCAGGCGATGGGAGGAGAAAGTGGGCGGGGGACGAGAAGGCGTTTCGTGGCGAGCGGGAAGGCGATGGGGTGGGTGATGGTGGGTGGGAGAGGAATTTGCGACGGCTGCATCTAAGGCTACGAGAAGGGAGGGGAGAGAGCAAGAGCGACGGCAAGGGAGGGGAGAGAGATAGAGCGACGGGAAGGGAGGGGAGAGAGATAGAGCGACGGGATGGGAGGGGAGAGAGATAGAGCGACGGAAAGGGAGGGGAGAGAGATAGAGCGACGGGAAGGGAGGGGAGAGAGATAGAGCGACGGGATGGGAGGGGAGAGAGATAGAGCGACGGAAAGGGAGGGGAGAGAGATAGAGCGACGGGAAGGGAGGGGAGAGAGATAGAGCGACGGGAAGGGAGGGGAGAGAGATAGAGCGATGGGATGGGAGGGGAGAGAGATAGAGCGACAGGATGGGAGGGGAGAGAGATAGAGCGATGGAAATGGATGGGAGAAGGCGATTGCAACGGAAAGGGAGCGGCGAGAGAGAGAGAGCGACGGGAAGGGAGAGGAGAAGGCGATTTGTTGAGGAAAGGGAGCGGCGAGAGAGAGAGAGAGAGAGAGAGAGAGAGAGAGAGAGAGAGAGAGAGAGAGAGAGAGAGAGAGAGAGAGAGAGAGAGAGAGAGAGAGAGAGAGAGAGAGAGAGAGAGAGAGAGAGAGAGAGCGACGCGCAGGGAGCAGCGAGAGAGAGAGCGCGACGGGAAGGGAGCGGCGAGAGCGAGAGCGACGGGAAGGGAGGGGAGAGAGCAAGAGCGACGGGATGGGAGGGGAGAGAGATAGAGCGACGGGAAGGGAGGGGAGAGAGATAGAGCGACGGAAAGGGATGGGAGAAGGCGATTGCAACGGAAAGGGAGCGGCGAGAGAGAGAGCGACGGGAAGGGAGAGGAGAAGGCGATTTGTTCAGGAAAGGGAGCGGCGAGAGAGAGAGCGACGCGCAGGGAGCAGCGAGAGAGAGAGCGCGACAGGAAGGGAGCGGCGAGAGAGAGAGCGACGGGAAGGGAGGGGAGAGAGCAAGAGCAACGGGATGGGAGGGGAGAGAGATAGAGCGACGAGAAGGGAGGGGAGAGAGATAAAGCGACGGGAAGGGAGGGGAGAGAGATAGAGCGACGGGAAGGGATGGGAGAAGGCGATTGCAACGGAAAGGGAGCGGCGAGAGAGAGAGCGACGAGAAGGGAGAGGAGAAGGTGATTGGTTCAGGAAAGGGAGCGGCGAGAGAGAGATTTGCGACGGGAAAATCGCAAGGGTGATTGGAGGAGAGGGGTAATGGAGATGACGGTAGGAGGGCGACGAGACGTCGACGGGACGGACGACATGATCGCGACGCGACGGTCGATGGGACGGCGTCAAGATGGTCGATGGGACGGCGTCAGGACGGTCGATCGGAATGGGAGGGCGAGCGAGATGAGATAGGAAGGCGGCGAGAGGGCATTCGAAACGGCACAAAGTACTACACAACCATGTCAGCTTCACTACGCGTCTAAATTGAAACAACTACGGCCTAAGTTGACGGTTCGATGGCTAGAAGCTGAGATCTATGATCGGAAGAACTAGTAGTTGTTCACCCAGACCCAACTTGAACCCCAAGCTGGGCCCAAAATCGCAAGGACGTGCATGAGCGATCGCAATGCTAGTGTTGTGCAGCTTCCAAAACTGATATGCGACGCCTGACGTGCTGTGTTCCTTCTTTTAGTTTTGGCGGGAACCAATCAGATGTATTCGATCTGCAAAAAACGCTCTCAATGAAACACTGGAAACTTGTCGGTTTGGTTCCAAAATTGTTTCGCACGGCAAGCCCTCTTTCAAGTTGGCGTTGGGTTCACGATTTTGCATTTCGGTTTAAAAAAAACAAGGGGCGACGAAATCGTCTTAGGGTTGCGAAGCGTTTTGCGCTTTCAAAACTACATTATCAATGTACATATTTAAACTGTATTAAATGCATGAAGCAATAATTTTTTTCCCAAAGATCCAAATCTTTTGGATTGTGACGAGAAGTGAGAATGGGATGAATGGACTATGAAACAGTTGGGTACAAGTACTAACCCTAATTGGGTTGTACCCCTTATGGGCTACCCCACTACAGCCTACACAAATGTATAAGCTATAATGTTCTGACACACCCCCATAGGCAAAGTGGGGGAGAACAAGTGGTCACAAGACCAGTCAAGCAAAGCAAAGCAAAGCAAGCTCAGGGTGGATCACAAAGTCACCACACAGTCCAAGCACAAGAGTAAGGCCACAAGGCCAGTTCACATGCAAGGTCATATATATAAAGGTAAAACAAGCAAGGGCAGGTATAGAAAGAAGACAGTACAAACAAGATCAAGAAGTGAGCAAGTGAGGCCAGGTAGGCACAAGACCTAGCACAGTACAGAAGCGCTGATGATCACAAGGCGGAAAACCCTTGGTGAAGATATCAGCATTGTTGGCCTCAGAGGCCACGTAGGTGAGGCGGAGCTGACCACGCTGCTGCAGCTCACGAGACAGGAAGTAGCGGAGAGCAATGTGCTTCGTTCTGTGCTCCAGTCTGTGCTCCCGACACAAGGCCAGCATGGCCTTGTTGTCTACGTACAGAACTGGAGGAGAACGAGGCGGCTCTCCTAGGTCAGTCAGCAGGTAGGTGAGCCAGCGTAGCTCCTGTGCAGCCATGGCCCTTGCGTAGATCTCAGCCTCACAGCTGGAGCCGAGAACAGAGGACGAGCGGGTAGACCGCCACGAAACAGAGCCGGAGCCAAGGCTGAAGGTGTAACCCTGTGACGACCGGTGCGTAGCCTGGTCGTCAGCCCAAGAAGCGTCAGCGTGACCTATGAGGACTACTCGACGTCGCCCTCCAAGCACTAGCCCCATGCCCGACGTACTGCACACGTAGCGCAACACCCTCTTCGCTGCAGCCATGTGCTCTAGTCGGTGTCTCCCAGGAGCAACATAGCGTGCCAAGATGCTAAGAGGGTATGCAAGGTCAGGTCGTGTGCAGGTCATCAGGTACATGAGGCAGCCAACAAGCTCTGGGTACGGGCCACTCGACTCTACGGACTCATCCGAAGACAGAGTTGAGAGGGAGTGGCGAGTAGACAGAGGAGTGGCCTGAGGCGAGGAGTACGTGAAGCCGAAGCGCTGAAGGACCTGCTGCACCATGTGTGACTGAGTCAGGGTAATGGTGCGCTGTGCTCTCTCCCGGGTGATCTGCAAGCCAAGGTAGCTGCGCAGTTCACCCAGGTCTGTGCACGTGTGTCTCTTCTGCAGCTCGGACTTCACGTGGGCGAGTCCAGCAGTGTCAACAGTGGCAAAGACCAGGTCGTCGACGTACACGAGGATGTAGAACGGCGGCAAAGAGGTGTCGGTGCGTAGAAACAGCGACGGGTCGGCTGTAGAAGGAGCAAACCCAAGAGCCGCAAGTGTAGTCCTCAGTGTGTCATGCCACTCACGGGGCGCCTGGCGGAGACCGTAGACTGGCCGCTGGAGGCTCCACTGGGTGCCAGGAGGAAACCACCCAGTGAAGCCAGGAGGGCGGCGCAGCCAGATCTCCTCGTGCAGGGTGCCCTGCAGGAAAGCTGTGCTGAAGTCAAGAGAGTGAAGCTCGTACTCACGCTGAGCGGCTATATGCAGCAGTACCCGAAGAGTGGTCATCTTCAGGGTGGGAGAGAAGGTCTGAAAGTAGTCAACTCCCTGCCGCTGACTGAAGCCTCGAGCCACGTAACGCGCCTTGAAGACAGGCGGAGAGCCCGGCGGCCGCTTCACCCTGAAGATCCACATCCCACTGACGATGTTCGCCCCAGGTGGGGGAACCTCGTCGACGTAGGTGCCTGTGGACTTACAGGAAGCCATCTCTGCATCCATGGCCAACTGCCACTGAGAGGAGTAGGGACCCTCGATCGCATCAGTGTACGATCGAGGAGTCGGGATGTTTGGTGCATCCAGGTCTCCCTCAGGGGCAATCAGCGTGGACACGAGATGGGGCAAAGC